GGCCTCCAAAGATAAGATTGTTCTTGACAAACCCATGGTATGTGAAAGGTTAGTTATTTTACTTTTCTATATCTTTGTTGCAAATTCAAATAAAATAAAGAGCATGCACCAGAAGTCATTAGCCATTATATTATGCTATTTTACTGTGTAAACGTTACCAGACATAGTTTAACCCTTTCACCAAATAATTCTTTTGGACATAGTGAATCTAATTTGTCGTACTTTTCTAATGGAGGAAACCAATAATAATCTCATCCATTTTGAATGCATGTTTATGCATTAGTTAATTCAAGATTTGAAAATGATTTCTGTTCCTTTGTTGTACTTTTCTAATGGAGGAAACCAATAATTATCTTATCCATTTTGAATGCATGTTTATGCATTAGTTAATTCAAGATTTGAAAATGATTTCTGTTCTGGAGGTGTCCTTTGCTAACTGCTCTGTGCCTCTCTCTCTCTCTCTCTCTCTCTCCATCTCTCACCCATATCAAAGGGGACACACACAATAAGTTCTTAAACTCAAGAGTTTAAAGTACATACTAGGTTGTGAGACTTCTTATGCCAGGTAAGGTTATTAGGATAATTTGATCCTTTATGTCTGTATTATAATAACTGTAATTGGTATTGAATCGGTAGTCTATAACATGCTTCTCACCCGCTTCCCTCCTTTTGAGTGATGAGTGATCCTATAAATGAGTGAACTTTTGGTGTGAAATTAAAACTTCCTTATTTTCATGTCTGTAACATTGAAATGTTTGTATATTAAAAGGAACTATGATATTTTTATCTGATAATTTTCTTTTTGTGACAATAAAAGATTAGAATTTATATCTTTTTGGAGCCAATTTCTTTTTCTATCAAAAAAAAAGATTTTTTTGAACCTGGAAATTGAGATAAAGAAATTAACAAATCGCTCTTCATGATTCTGATAGTTACCTCTTTATGTTCAACCTATCTTATAATTTCTTGACATAATGGTAAATTAACTTTTGTTTCAATTTTTGGGTAATGAAGCTCTTATGTCAAAAACGGCTGGATCAATTGTTGAAGCTGCACTAAGAAGAGATCCTCATGAACTTGAGTTCATACAATCTGTACAAGAAGCTGTGCATGCTTTAGAAAGAGTGATCGCAAAGAATTCCCAGTGAGTTGAGAAGGATGAACTGTATTTATTTTGGCTTCATCATGTTAAGCAAAAGCCTTAGGAGGGTGGTATATCTTTAATCTCACAAAGTGTCTCTAATGTGTTTCAGTTATGTCAATATCATGGAGCGCTTATTAGAACCGGAGCGTATGATTGTCTTCCGAGTTCCATGGGTTGATGACCGCGGTGAAACACATGTAAATAGAGGTTTCCGAGTACAGTTTAACCAGGCACTTGGTCCATGTAGAGGCGGTATCCGTTTTCATCCACTGGTGAACTTAAGTATTGCTAAATTTCTTGCTTTTCAGCAGGTACTCTTTCACTTTCAATAGTATGTCAATTAATTCCTCTTCTATTTTTTTTTTTTGGGTGAAAAAGAAATATCACTAGAGGAGAGAAAAAAACAAAGCCAGAGGCAAGATATGCCCCTAGAGAAAAAAGAGAAAGAAATACATTGAATTCCTCCTAGAGAAAAAAGATAAAAAGAAATACATTGAACTTATGAAGCATTGCACTCCCTTCACAAGATTGCCAAACAGACATGCCCAAAATAACCATGAACCTTAGCCCATAAAGCAACAAAAAAATTCAATTTGTCCCTAAAGAAGATGGTTGCTAACGTGATTCTTGAAAATCTTAGCGTAAAGCTCCAACCACAACATCCACAGTCCAGCCAAAATAGCACCTCTCCACAACACACCAACCTGCTTCTTCCCACCTCCCTAGAGGAAACTGGAAAGAAAACACTCAACGAAGGGGAAACCACACAACAATAATCAAAAGTATTAAAAAGGTTAGAGTGAAGCCTCCAAGCCACCTCACTATGCAAAAAAGAGGTGATTATGAGGTTTTGCTGCCTTAAAACACATAACACTAACATTCAGAAAATGGCACAATTAAGCTTATGAATTTGCAATAGATGATTATTATTGAGCCTCTCCAGAGGAACTTTCCATGCAGAAACCTTAACCTTAGAAGGAATTTTAGTCTTTAAAAAAGAACTAGTAAAAGACTCATTGAGGCTAGAGGGGGTATTGGTTGGAGATGAGAAAAAACAGACTTGCAGGGGAATGAATTAGAGGACTCCAACGTCCAAATTATATTATGGGGTAAAGGAGAAACAAAAAAAGGCTCGAGCATGTTGAGCAAAGAGATTATGTCTTTGGACTTGCAATTATTGGAGTTTGTAAAGAATAGAAATTCCAAGCAATCTACCTATCTAACTGATTATGGAAATGACATATGGGAGCATGATGGTGTGAATGGAGCTATGTAGGTGAGAGGAAAGATTTAGGGAGAGATTCCCCACCCAAAAAATCTTTCAAAAACAACTCTTGGAGCCATCACCTAGTTTTGAGTTGTATAAGAGGTAGAAAAGTGTCAAGGCTAGGAGTCTTGTCCATATCGAAGGCTTACACAATTTTCTTAGCCTCCTATTCACTGAAAGGTTGCTCAAACCAAAAGGAACTTTCCCTATAGATAGAACACCAGTCAAGAACCTATAGAAAAGGACATTCACCCTCCTCTTGTACAAATTCCTATAAAACTAGTGAGCCCTCCCTATAAAGTTGATGTCCTTCACAATTTTATCATCCTCTACTCCAACTCCTTAATATTACTTTTCTCCTCCCATTAATAACCTTATGGAACAACCTCGTGTTAGCATCAACCTTCATCCAGATCTAGAGAATCCATAAAGGAATCACTAAATATAGAGTCAAGGACAGACTTATGCCTAGAAACAGATTGCATTGGCTATGTCGAGAGAATTTCAAATCCACCTGTTTGGCCCATGAAAAGCACAGTCTTCCCATTGCAACCTAGACTTCCCCCATCATCTTTTTCCCATTTTTGACATCAGCATACCTACTTGCTTACTGGAGGTTGCTTCCTAGGTATAAGATTGGCTTGCTCCATTTTTCCAGCACTATCGATTTCGATTGTATAGGAACGACATCATGAAAAGTCAACTCGTGCACTGGAGAGGTAACTGACTTCTTCAGCCCTATTGAGTCCACTCACCTGATCTAGGCATAGCGATCCATTGTTTCTCAAATGTTTGGCTGAATGGGGATGCAATTGCCTGTTCCATACTTTGTAATATTTGGTTCTCGTGAGGTTCTTGTCAGAATTTGGGCTTTTGAAAAAATCCAGGTTGGGCCTTAGTCTGTTGAAACAAATGTTTTTTTGTTACCTAATCTGGCCTTTCTATTTCTCACCTCCTCAATCCGCAGAACCTTTCTCCTCTTTTCAGTTGTCATAATAATTAATTATTGATTGCCCGACTGATTTATTGGATTTATTTCCAATATAATCTCCTCGTCCATGCCTATTGCAGCTTGTTGATTATGCCTGATTTTGACTTCTTAAAAAATAGATTGACAGTAATATTTTGTAACCTGAATTGTGGATGCTCCACAGCTATGTCTACCAATTCCTGCGTTGTTTGACTGCAATACTTGAACAAGAATTTCATGGAAGTTCTTCCTGATCCTGTGTTTGTCCCTGGCCTGGAAAGCCTCTCCTGCTAACAGAGATGAAATGTGCCACAATAAACGGCGATACACTCCCATCAGTATCTTCCAGGACATAGGTAGCCTTCTTGCCATCCCCATTAAATGAAAAAATAATCACAATTCCTTTTTTACTTTCCACCAAGAAATGTTCAATAACTCTGAACAATCTGCTCTGATACTCATTGTGTTTCCTTTGACCAGTTTGTTGAAGAAACTTCATAAATCAAATGGACCCTCTTTGTCAATGCTAACCCAAAGCCCTTTCTCCTGCATGTCTTCGAGATGATAACATTATAGAAAGAATGGCCTCTTTCGACAGAAATAAAAGGCGACTTAGATTCGGCCCCAAAGCTTTTAACTTCATAAATTCCTATTTTAGTTTTAAGTTGATTTGTCTTAATTATAGGCATTTTCTACCTAACTGATTGAAGTCAGCTAGCATTGGCTGGGAAAGAGACATAAAGTAAGATTTGAGTGCTTGCAAAATTAAAATTGTAGCTAACATTTTAAAGTTATCTTCCTATTATATTTGTCGTTAATATAATGAGATGAAAGTTTGAAGTAAAATGAACTAAAAGTCTTGGCTGCTCTATAAGTTATGATTTCTTATTGAATGCAGACATTAAAAAATGCTTTATCACCTTACAAACTAGGAGGGGCAGCTGGTGGAAGTGACTTTGATCCTAAAGGGAAAAGTGATAATGAGGTGAGATCTTCATTCTATATCATGAGAGTCTTCTAACATGAACCCCCCTAAACTTAGGGAGTTTTCTTAATTTCTTTTTGTAATCCATGCTGGCAGATTATGCGCTTTTGTCAAAGCTTCGTGAGTGAGATCTATCGATACTTGGGTCCTGACAAGGTAACTACACAAAATTTCTGTTTTCTATACAAATCTCTTTTATCCTTTTATTTTCAGTGCCCATTAATGTTTTATGTAATTTAGGACCTTCCATCAGAGGAGATGGGTGTTGGTACTCGGGAAATGGGGTATCTTTATGGGCAATATAGACGCCTAGCTGGTCATTTTCAGGTACATTGAACACTTGAAGAAAGTGCTCGATACACTGAAGCTTTGTTGTATTTTTTCTTATTTAGTTCTTTGTTTTTCCCTCCACTTTCATTGTTGATGAAAATGCACCCCCCCCCCCCCCCCAAAAAAAAGAAAAAAGAAAACATGCATGTACGTGCACAGACACACTACACTTTTCAGCTTCGTTTTCTTTTGCTTTAGGGAAGGTTAGAATGGGATTAGGCTTGAAGCTCACATATACCTGGATGACTATATGCAAAGTAGAATTCTTGTTTGTTTGTCTATTCAAGAACCCTACCACTTTCCTTAAGTTGTTTCATTTCGTCCTGTGGATTAATGTTTATTGGTCGTCTGTGCTGTTCAATCATCTTAAAATTAAATTTTAATTATTTGAACTGATTGCACTTCAAAAACTTTGTTTTTAGGCTAAGTTGAGGTTGTAGAAGGGTCTTTCAGAGCTGCATGATTTTGTATCCAGTGGAAGAAACAAGATATAATGCAGTACTCTTTTTGTATTTTTTGGCCATTGAATTAGATATAGCAAAAGAGTTGTATTCCTACGTATATACTCTTCTTTTTGGTTCTATTGTTGCTGCCAAAAAGCATAAGTTTGGCCAAACAGAAATGCTTTTAGGTAAAAGAAGAATATGTTTATCGCTTTTGATAAACGTGAAATCAGAAGATGGAAATAAAATGCTTTCGAGATATAATTTGTCCTTAGGAGCTAAATAATATTTTTAATATTAACTTTATGTTTTACTAAAATAAAATAATAATGTTAATTAGTATCAATAAGTTTATATCAAAAATTATTTAAATAATATTTATTTTTAAATTATCATTGAAACTTAATATTTATATATGGAGAAAATAAACAAAAATTAATTAAATGTTTTAAAATAATTTAAAACTATTAGGATATATTTAGAAAAATTAGCATTATTTAAATATTTATGTTAATTGATTTTTATTTTTTATGTAATTTTTTTATCATTTCAACATTTATTGTTAATTTTGTAACATGATAAATTAAACATAATATCACATTTTACATTGAAATTATTTTATACAGCAAGTTTTACTGAGTATCATACTGTTTTTCACTTTAAAACTATTTTTACTAAAAGTAATTTTCACAGCATTTTTGGTAACTTATAGTACAAACACCAGCTGGAATAAATGGACCGTCAGAGTTGTTGTTCTGTTAACGCAGAGCAGGTACTTGGAAAATGTAGTGGCAGCATGAATCTAGTGAATTTCTTGTCTGCAGTGAGGGTTACCATTTCTATGGTCTTTTTTTAACCTGCAATATTTGATTTGATCCATTGAAAATAATGTTTCAATAAGCAGCAGAGACAA